CATCGGGCTATTGATGAGACTTCTCAACAGAAACCTTACAGGCCAGAAGAGAATGGCATAATGTATTTAATGCAATGAAACAGAAGGGCATTGAACCAAGAATACTGTATCCAGCATGATTATCATTTAAATATGGAGGGATTAAACAATTCCCAGACAAAAAGTTGAGGGAATTTGCTTCCCACAAACCACCTCTACAGGGTATTTTAAAGGGACTGCTCTAGACAGATGCACTCCTCAAGCTAAATAATGTCAACAGAGAAAATACAATCACACCAAAGAAAGCATACCAACCAAATACTAACTGAAGGCAAAAAATAAAATAAACTACTCACAAAAGAAGTCAAAGGAAACACAAAAGAGTACAGAATAAAATACCTAACATATAAAGAATGGAGAAGGAGGAATAAGAAGGGAGAGAAATAAAGAATCATCAGACAGTGTTTATAATACTAAATAAGAGAGTTAAGTTAGACTGCTAGATAGTAAAGAAGCTGTCCTTGAACCTTTGGTAACCACAAATCTAAAGCTTGCAATGGCAATAAGTACATACCTTTTAATAATCACCCTAAATGTAAATGGACTGAAAGCACCAATCAAAAGACACAGAGTAATAGAATGGATAAAAAAGCAAGACCCATCTATATGCTGCTTACAAGAGACTCACCTCAAACCCAAAGACATACACAGACTAAAAGTCAAGGGATGGAAAAAGCTATTTCATGCAAACAATAGGGAGAAAAAAGCAGGTGTTGCAGTACTAGTAGCAGACAAAATAGACTTCAAGACAAAAAAAGTAATGAGATAAAGAAGGACAATACATAATGATAAAGGGGTCAGTCCAACAAGAAGATATAACCATTATAAATGTATATGCACCCAATACAGGAGCACCAACATATGTGAAACAAATACTAACCGAATTAAAGGAGGAAATAGACTGCAATGCATTCGTTCTAGGAGACTTCAACACACCACTCACTCCAAAGGACAGATCCACCAGAGAGAAAATAAGTAAGGACACAGAGGCACTAAACAACACACTAGAACAGATGGACTTAACAGACATCTACAAAATTCTACACCCAAACGCAGCAGGATACACATTCTTCTCAAGTGCACATGGAACATCTTCCAGAATAGACCACATACTAGGCCGCAAACAGAGCCTCAGTAAATTCAAAAAGATTGAAATTCTGCAAACCAACTTCTCAGACCACAAAGGCATAAAACTAGAACTAAATTGTACAAAGAAAATGAAAAAGGCTCACAAACACATGGAGGCTTAACAACATGCTCCTAAGTAATCAATGGATCAATGACCAAATTAAAACAGAGATCAAGCAATATATGTAGACAAATGACAACAACAGCACAAAGCCCCAACTTCTATGGGATGCAGCAAAGACAGGTGTAAGAGGAAAGTATATAGCAATCCAGGCCTATTAAAGAAGGGAAATTTCATTTGAACAAATTTCAAAGAACAATCCCAAATGAATAGTCTAAAGTCACAATTATTGAAACTGGAAAAAGAAGGACAAATGAGGCACAAAGTCAGAAGGAGGGACATAATAAATATCAGAGAAGAAATAAATAAAATTGAGAAGAATAAAACAATTGAAAAAATCAATGAAACCAAGAGCTGGTTCTTTGAAAAAATAAACAAAATAGATATCACCTATCCAGACTTATTAAGAGAAAAAGAGAATCTACACACATCAACAGAATCAGAAATGTGAAAGGAAAAATTATGACAGACCCCAGAAAAATACAAAAAATTAATAGAGAATACTATGAAAATCTATATGCTAACAAGCTGGAAAACCTAGAAGAAATGGACAACTTCCTAGAAAAATACAGCCTTCCAAGACTGACCAAGGAAGAAACAGATAATCTAAACAGACTAATTACCAGCAAAGAAATTGAATTGGTAATCAAAAAACTACCCAAGAAGAAAACCCCTGGGCCAGATGGATTCACTGCTGATTTTATCAGACATATGGAGAAGACATAATACCCATTCTCCTTAAAGTTTTCCAATAAATAGAAGAGGGAATACTTCCAAACTCATTCTATGAAGCCAGCTTCACTCTAATACCAAAACCAGGCAAAGACCCCACCAAAAAAGAAAATTACAGACCAATATCCTTGATGAACATAGATGCAGAAATACTCAACAAAATATTAGCAAACTGAATTCAAAAATACATCAAGAAGATCATACACCATGATCAAGTGGGATTCATCTCAGGGATGCAAGGATGGTACAACATTTGAAAATGCATCAATATCAACCACCACATCAACAAAAAGAGGAGAAAAACAACATGATTATTTTCATAGATGCTGAAAAAGCATTCGACAAAATTCAACATCCATTCATCATAAAAACTCTCAATGAAGTGGGTATACGGGGCAAGTACCCCAACATAATAAAGGCCATATATGACCAACCCACAGCCAACATCATACTTAACAGCAAGAAGCTGAAAGCTTTTCCTTTAATATTGGGAACAAGACAGGGATGCCCACTCTCCCCACTGTTATTCAACATAGTACTGTAGGTCCTAGCCACGGCAATCAGACAAAACAAATACAAGGCATCCAAATTGGTAAAGAAGTCAAACTGTCACGATTTGCAGATCACATGATATTGTACATAAAAAACCCTAAAAACTCAACTCCAAAACTACTAGAACTAATAGCTGAATTCAGCAAAATTGCAGGATACAAAATTAATACACACAAAATTAATTCCTATACAGTAACAATGAACTAACAGAAAGAGAAACCAGGAAAACAATTCCATTCACAATTTCATCAAAAAGAATAAAATACCTGGGAATAAAGCTAACTAAGGAAGTGAAAGACCTATACCCTGAAAACTACAAGACATTCTTAAGAGAAATTAAAGAGGACACTAACAAATGGAAACTCATCCCATGCTCTTGGCTAGGAAAAATTAATATTGTCAAAATCGCCATCCTGCCTAAAGCAATCTGCATATTCAGTGCAATGCCTATCAAAGTACTAACAGCATTTTTCCACAAACTGGAACAAATAGTTTTAAAATTCATATGGAACCACCAAAGGCCCTGAATAGGCAAAGCAATTCCTGAAAAGGAAAAATAAAGTGGGAGGGATCTTGTTTCCCAACTTCAAGCTCTACTACAAAGCCACAGTAATCAAGACAATTTGGTACTTGCACAAGATCAGAGCCACAGACCAGTGGAACAGAATAGAGTGTCCAGATATTAACCCAAATATATACGGTCAATTAATAAATGGTAAAGGAGCCATGGACATACAGTGGGGAAATGAAAGCCTCTTCAACAGCTGGTGTTGGCAAAACTGGACAGCTACATGTAAGAGAATATAACTGGATCATTATCTAACCCCATACACAAAAATAAATTTGAAGTGGATCAAAGACCTGAATGTAAGCCATGAAACCATAAAACTCTTAGGAATAAACATAGGCAAAAATCTCTTGGACATAAACATGAGCATCTTCTTTGTGAATATATCTCCCCAGTTAAGGGAAACAAAAGCAAAAATGAACAAGTGGGTCTACAACCAACTGAAAAGCTTCTGTACAGTAAAGGACACCACCAATAGAACAAAAAGGCATCCTAGATTGTGGGAGAATATATTCATAAATGACAGATCCAATAAAGGGTTCACATCCAAAATATATAGAGAGCTCATGCACCTCAACAAACAAAGCAAATAATCCAATCAAAAAATGGTCAGAGGAACTGAACAGACAGTTCTCCAAAGAAGAAATTCAGATGGCCAACAGACACATCAAAAGATGCTTTACATCACTAGGCACCAGAGAAATGCAAATTAAAACCACAATGAGATATCACCTCACACCAGTAAGGGTCGCCACCATCCAAAAAACAAACAACAACAAATGTTCGCAAGGATGTGGAGAAAGGGAAACCCTTCTACACTGCTGGTGGGAATGTAAATTAGTTCAACCATTGTGGAAAGCAATATGGAGATTCCTCAAAAAACTCATAATATAAATACCATTTGACCCAGGAATTCCTCTCTTAGGAATTTACCCTAGAATGCAGCAGCCCAGTTTGAAAAAGACATATGTTTTTTGCAGCACTATTTGCAGCATAAACCCCTATGTTTATTGCAGCACTATTTACAACCTAAGTGTCCATCAGTAGATGAATGGATAAAGATGTGGTACGTATACACAATGGCATATTATTCATCCATAAGAAGAAAACAAGTCCTACCATTTGCAACAACATGGATGGAGCTAGAGGGTATTATGCTCAGTGAAATAAGCCAGGCAGAGAAAGACGAGTATCACTCATCTGTGAGTATAAGAACAAAGCAAAAACTGAAGGAGCAAAACAGCAGCAGACTCACAGAACCCAAGAATGGACTAACAGTTACCAAAGGGAAAGGGACCGGGGAGGATGGGTGGGAAAGGAGGGATAAGGGCAGGGGGGAGAAAGAGAGCATTACGATTAGTATGCATAATGTTGGAGGGGCATGGGGAGGACTGTACAACACTGAGAAGACAAGTAGTGATTCTACAGCATCTTACTACGCTGATGGACAGTGACTGCAATGGGGTATGTGTGGGGAACTTGGTGATGGGGAGAGTTTAGTAAACAGAATGTTCCTCATGTAATTGTAGATTAATGATACCACACAAAACAAAACAAAACAAAAAGTATATTGGCCGGTTTTCTTCAAGGTTACCTCTCTGTTACTCCACTATAGCTCTTAGCAGATGTAGCCATCTCTGGATTTTTAGTATTTTGTGTTTTAGATTGGTGTTCATTATAGAATTTATTATTTTCTAAACACAATGTACTATGTGGTCAGCCTGAATACAATCACAATGGAAATATGAATATCCTCCTGTAGCTTGTTTTCAAATTCATAATGTAATTAATAAGTAAATTAACAGAAAAATAAATATAGGCACATGGAATCTCTGTATCTGTTCTGGGTTTCTGTATTACCTTTATGGAATTGAAGACATTCTCAGTTCCTGAGGTCTGGTTTGCCAGTTCAGTTACCCAGCCAAATTGCTCTCTCATCTTCTCCATCAGATATGTGGTGTCCTCCAAGTGATGCTGGGTCATCTGGAGAATCTGGGTATATTGATGATTGGATACATTGACCAATTTAAAGGCCTCATCTACTTTTGTATATAATTCAGGTACATCAGGGCAGTCTGTCAAAGAAGAAAATAACATGGTAAAGGAGAAGACCCATGGATTTGGGACTTGGGTTGTTAGGGGCTTAAATCCCAGCCCTTAAGCTTTCTATTTCCAGCCTGTTGACCTTGAATGAGTTTTCCATTAGGTAAAATGGGCATGAATGAACTAACACTGTAAAGTGCCTGATCACAGGGCTGATATACAAGTGTTCCTTCACATGTTCCTGTTCCTTTGTCTTCCTTCTCCCCCTTTCTGTAGTATCCCTGAGGGTCATTAGAGCTATTCTGTTCTGCCAGTCTTTGGGTCACTCTTTCAGGATTAGTTGTATTTGCTGTATTTTCATGTTATATTGGTTTTGGGAGGAGGTTTCTGCCTCACTTGTCATGCTACCATCTTTTTCCCCCCCTTTAGAGCTATTGTGGCCAGGGCACATGGGAGATTATGCATCCCTGCCACCTTGAAGTTGAACATGGCCATCTTCAAAGTGATGTTTTTTCACTTTTGAAGGAAGCCATAAAGCACACTTTAGGATTTATCATGCTCCCTTCTTCCTGATAGTGGACTTAGTTTTTTGCTGCATGTGGTGGAGGCTCCATTGCCCTGAGTGAGGAGATGTGTAGCAGAGCCCCAACTCAAACTGTAATTGATACACTGTAAAGTGAGAAGTAAGTGTTTGTGCTTACAAGTCACTGAGATTCTGCAGCTCTGTGTTATTATTGCCCAACAGTCCATCTGAACTGAAACAGGTTATAAGAACTTGTACAGCTGGGCTGATGAGCACCTTGATATTGTATAAAGATCATCTGTAAACTGTAGAATTGTGTATGTGTTAGGCATTTGGGATCAGAAGATTGTTGTTGTGGAAAAGACCACAGACTCTCTAAAGTATGTCTTTTGCTGTTTACTGAAAAACCATGCCTTCAAGAGAGAATCCACCAGCCAGAAGCCAGATGATCACCTCATCTAAGGCTTTAAACATCAGTTAGTTCTTCTTTTTGATACTCTTTTTGGGTCACTCTTTTTGTGTAACACAAGATTCTCTAATGCCTCATCTTTTACAGAAATTGTTTTGTGGTCTTCAGGAGAGAGCAATCATTATATTGATAAGTAAACAAATTTGCAATAGTATACATATGAAAAGTGATTCAAGAAAACATTTTGAAAACAAAGGGGGTCTTAGTTAAAAAGATATAGTATACATTTGAAAGAAGATCCAGATTTTCTTTAAAAATGCCTTCATTTACAACACCAAGTTGTTAACTTTTAGAATAATATAAAGTTTTTTTTAAATTATTGGTGAAGATTTCTGTCATGACCTTAGGCAAGTAGAATTCTACAGTGGACATTTGTTTACTCTTTGAGGGAGTGCCACCCAGGAAAAAGATTTCCTGAGAACAAAGGTGAAAATTCATGCAAAACACAATCATATAGGAAAGGAAAAAGTAAAACTATCTATGTTCACAGGTGATCTTATATATAGAAAGTCTGTATGGTACATACACAAACACACATGCACAAAAGCTACAAAAACTAATAAACAATTCAGCTAGGTTGCAGAATATAAGATCTATATATAAAAATCAGTTGTATTCCTGTGCACTACAATGAACAAACCAAAAATGAAATTAAAAAACAATTCCACTCACAATACCATTAAAAAGAACTGAATACTTTTGAAACTATTTTTTTTAAGAAGTACACAACTTGCTTACTGAAAACTAAAACACATCTTTGAAAAAAAGAAGACTTAAATAAATGGAAAGATATCTAAGTTCATGGATTGGAATGTTGAATATTGTTAAGATGGCAATATAACACAAAATGATCTAGAGATTAATGCAGTCCCTATCAAAATCCCAGTTGAATTTCCTTTTTGTAGAAATTGACAGATGAGGAGGTGGAGCCAAGATGGTGGAGTGAGTAGGACAGTGGGAATCTCCTCCCAAAAACATATATATTTTTGAAAATACAACAAATACAACTATCCCTAAAAGAGAGACCAGAAGACACAGGACAACAGCCAGACTACATCCACACCTGTGAGAACCCAGCACCTGGTGAAAGGGGTTAGATACAAGCCGCAGCCTGGCGGGACCCAAGGCCCCTCACCCCAGCTCCCAGAGGGAGGAGAGGAGTCGGAGCTGGGAGGGAGAGGGAGCCCAGGACTGCTAAACACCCAGCCCTAGCCATCTGCACCAGAGCACAGACACAGTGCGTGCATGGGGTGCTGGAAACTAGGGAAACAGGACAGTAAGACCTGTGAGGGGTCCCGCAGCCGGCGTTCCTGGGACAAAGAAAAGTGAGTGCTTTTTGAAAGTCTTAAAGGGACAGGGACCCCACAGCTGGACGGAAGCACCCTGGGTCACAGTCCAGCAGCTGGAAATTCCAGGGGACTCTGGGTGCACTAACCCCCTGGGCAACAGTTCTGAGACCCCTCACGGAGGTAAACAGCCAAATAGCCCCCTGTCCATTACCCCTCTGGGGCCCCACCATAGAGCAGCAGCCTGAGGCTGGCCACGCGCACAGCAAGGGAGCTTCCTCCATATGGGCTGGGCAAGATACAGAGACCCAGTCTACATGCAATTGCCCAACACAAGCCACTAGGGGTCGCAGTTGTCCCAGTAAAGGAAGGCCAGGAGCAATTGGAAAAAGTCTAGGCTCTCCCAGCTGATAGATGCATCAATAGCATACCACTGCACCCATCCACATTAAAAGGCAAAAAACTTTGATCCAGACAAGATTAACCCAGACAGCTTTGACATGTTCTACATCTTCTCCTGAGAAGGAACCTGGGGAGATAGATTTAACCAGTCTTCCTGAAAACGAATTCAAAACAAAAGTCATAACCATGCTGATGGACTTGCAGAGAAATATGGAAGAACTAAGGAGGGAGAATACAGAAATAAAACAATCTCTGGAAGGACTTCAAAGCAGAATGGGCGAGATGCAAGAGAACATTAATGGACTAGAAAACAGAGAACAGGAACGCAGAGAAGCTGATGCAGAGAGAGATAAAAGGATCTCCAGGAATGAAAGAATTTTAAGAGAACTGTGTGACCAATCGAAACGGAACAATATCTGCATTATAGGGGTACCAAAAGAAGAAGAGAGAGAAAAAGGGATAGAAATGTCTTTGAAGAAATAATTGCTGAAAACTTCCCCAAACTAGGGGAGGAAATGGCCTCTCAGACCACAGAGGTACACAGAACTCCCATGACAAGGGAGCCAAGGAGGGCAACACCAAGACACATAATAATTAAAATGGCAAAGATCAAAGACAAGGACAAAGTATTAAAGGCAGCCAGAGAGAAAAAAAAGGTCACCTACAAAGGAAAACCCAGCAGACTATCATCAGACTTCTCAACAGAAACCTTACAGGCCAGAAAAGAATGGCATGATATACTTAATGCAATGAAACAGAAGGGCCTCAAACCAAGAATACTGTGTCCAGCACGATTATCATTTAAATATGAAGGAGGGATTAAACAATTCCCAGACAACCAAAAGTTGAGGGAATTTGCCTCCCACAAACCACCTCTTCAGGGCATCTTACAGGGACTGCTCTAGATGGGAGCACTCCTAAAAAGAGCACAGAACAGAACACCCAACATATGAAGAAGGGAGGAGGAGGAATAAGAAGGGAGAGAAATAAAGAATCATCAGACCGTGTTTATAATAGCTCAATAAGAGAGTTAAGTTAGACAGTAAGATAGTAAAGAAGCTAACCTTGAACCTTTGGTAACCACAAACTTAAAGCCTGCAATGGCAATAAGTACATACCTTTCAATAATCACCCTAAATGTAAATGGACTGAATGTACCAATCAAAAGACACAGAGTAATAGAATGGATTAAAAAGCAAGACTCATCCATATGCTGCTTACAAGAGACTCACTTCAATCCCAAAGACATAAACAGACTTAAAGTCAAGGGATGAAAAAGATACTTCATGCAAACAACAGAGAGAAAAAAGCAGGTGTTGCAATACTAGTATCAGACAAAATAGACTTCAAAATAAAGACGGTAACAAAAGATAAAGAAGGACATTACATAATGATATAGAAATTGACAGATGATCCCCAAATTTATAATGATATGCAGGGGCCTCAGAATAACCAAAACTATCTTGGAAACAAAGAACAAAGTTTGACCACTCACACTTTCAAATTTCAAAACTTCATACAAAGTACAACATTCAGGATAGTGTGGTATTGGCATAGGATAGGCATATGGGTCAACGGAATAGGATTGAGAGTCCAGAAATAAATCCTTACATTTGCTGTCAGTAGATTTGCAGCAAGGTACCAAGATAAATTTATGGGGGAAAAAGTAGTCTTCTCAATAAATAGAACTGAGACAACTGGATATCTAACTGCAAAGGAAAAATATTGTACTCCTACTTCATGTGATACACAAAAATTAACTCAAAATGTATCAGAGTCCTAAACACAAGAACTGAATCTGTAAATCTTAGCCAGAAAATAAGTGTGTATCAATGTGACTATGGATTAGGCAATGATTTCTTAGATATAACACCAAAATACAAAAAAAAAAAGAAAAATTAGACTTCACCAAAATTTTTAAAATCTTTCATATGTCAAAGGCTACCATCAAGAAAGTGGAAAGGCAGGACATGAAATAGAAATATTTATAAATAATGTATCTGACAAGGATCTAGTATCCGGAATATATAAAGAACTCTTACAACTCAACAATAAAAAGACAAATAACAAAATTAAAATATGAGCAAAGAATTTGAATAAACATTTCTCCAAAGAAGATACACAAATAGACAATAAGCACTTGAAAAGATGCTTGACATTATTAGTGATTAGGAAAATGCAAAACCAAATCACAATGAAATATCACTTCACACACACCTTTAGGTTGGCTAAAACAAAAAGGAAGGACAGTAACAGTGTTGGCAAGGATGTGGAGAAATTAGAATCCTCCTCCATTTCTGTGGAGATGTAAATGGTACACCCACTTTGGGAGAGAATCTGACAGTTCCTCAAAATGTTAAACAGCATATGATCTGGCAATACTGCATCTAGGTATATACCCAAAAGAATTGAGAACATGTATAGTGTGCATGTACGTATGTGTTACATACACATATGTGATTAAAGTATAAAGAAATGTAATAATAACACTAAAAATATCACTTCCCTTTAGAAGGAATAAAGAGGATGTGGTCTGGAAGGGGCACAGAGGGGCTTCACCTATTTTGGTAATATTTTATTTCTTAATCTAGATGGTAGGAAGATGGGTTTTTACTCCATTCTTAATATATTCATAATGAATTTTATAATAAAAGTTTAAAATTGCATGGCAGCACATTGGGAAGTCATTTATGTTTTAACATTGTAGCAATCAATTTACATTGCAATACTGTATCATGGGATGGGTACTGTATTTGATGCAGTATCTGATGTATACTGATTATCTAGTGCATTTGTACTATATTGTCTGGTTTCTTCTTTACCTTTTTTTCCAGTTTTATTGAGAAATGATTGACATCCATCTCTGTAGAAGTTTAAGGTGTACAGCATTATGGTTTGAGTTACATAAATAGTGAAATGATTACCCCAGCAGGTTTAGTTAGCATCCATAGTCTCATAGATGCAATGAAAAGAAAGGAAATTTCTCCTTGTGATGAGAACTCTTAGGATTTACTCTTTTAACAACTTTCCTGTATACCATACAGCAGTGTTGGCTATAGTCATTATGTTGCAAATTGCATCCCTAGTACTCACTTGTCTTATAACTGGGTGTTTGTACCTTTTGACCACCTTCCTCCACCCTCCACACCCCTATTTTCTGTATTGTGACAGACAAGGAGAGATTATTCATTAAAGCTCTTAGATGGATGAAAGGAAGTTAATGATACATACATGGGACGTTTGAGTGGGACTATTTTTGTAAGAGGTCACTATATATATGTAAGTCCAAGGAGAGAAAATCCCGGGGCAAGATACCTCTAAAACTGAAATCAGAATTATCATGATTTTATTGCTGTTGCTATTGTATGTCATTAGTCTGGTCTCAATGCTCCAGTTTTCTCACCCAGGGACCACTGTGGAAGAGGGGGAATGAGTAGATTACAAAGCAAGATTTCTAAAGGAGTGGCCTGTGGGTAAAATTGTAATATTTCCAGAATATCTCTCCTGGCTTTAGTTCATTTGCATATCCTCAAGGGTGGAGAGAAGTTCATCTCCATATCAGTGGGTAATTGCCTGGGTAACTGAGGGCTTATCAGAACCTGAGGAGTTAGGGGGAGGTTCTTGCTTGCTTCTGCTGGAGTAGGAGAGAGTGCAGTTTGACTGGTTTTGGTTTTAGCAGTATCCTGCTGACTATACCAGCTGTAAGGTCAGAGAGAGAAAATCCCGGGGCAAAATACCTTTAAAAACCAAAATCAGTCAAAGGGAGAAATAAAATTTTTAATTTGTTTAATGCTTACAAACTGCAGTCTGGGGCCATCTTTCTTTCCTACTTTGGAAGAAGCAAGCAAGGACCTCCCCCTAACCTCTCAGGTTCATATAAGCCATTGGTTGCCCAGGTAGTTACCCACTGATACGGAGATGAACTCATCTCCACCCCTGATGATATGCAAATGAACTAAATCCAGGCGAGATATTCTGGAAATACTACAATTTTACACACAATATATTATACTGATTAAAATCTTTGAGTGGTTACTATATATTTTTACTACGAAAACTTATGTTTCTGGGCTCTCTTGTCCCCTCCTGGCATGAGCTTGGAGCTCTATCTGTCCTCTCACTGTATCTCTCAATAAAAGCCTCCCTGGCTCTCCTACCTTAAAAAATAAAAAACAAAACAAAAAAAACTTATGTTTCTCTATGCACACTTGTTAAAAAACAAACACTTGAGAATAAAATACCTAGGAATACACCTAACCAAGGAAGTGAAAGACCTATACCCTGAAAACTACAAGATACTCATGACAGAAATTAAAGAGGATACCAGTAAATGGAAACACATCCTGTACTCATGGATAGGAAGAATTAATATTGTCAAAATGGCCATCCTGCCTAAAGCAATCTACAGATTCAATGCAATCCCTATCAAACTACCAATAGCATTATTAAATGAAATAGAGCAAATAGTTCTAAAATTCGTATGTAACCACAAACGACTCCGAATAGCCAAAGCAATCCTGAGAAGGAAGAATAAAGCTGGGCTGATTGTGCTCCCTGACTTCAAGCTCTATTACAAAGCCCCAGTAATCAAGACAATTTGGTACTGGCACAAAAACAGACCAATAGACCAATGGAACAGACTAGAGAGCCCAGATATAAACCCAAGCATATATGGTCAATTAATATACGATAAAGGAGCCATGGATATACAATGGGGAAATGATAGTCTCTTGAACAACTGGTGTTGGCAAAACTGGACAGCTATATGCAAGAGAATGAAACTGGTTTATTGTCTAACCCCACACACAAAAGTAAACTCAAAATGGATCAGACCTGAATGTAAGTCATGAAACCATAAAACTCTTAGAAAAAAACATAGGCAAAAATCTCCTGAATATAAATATGAGCAACTTTTTCCTGAATGCATCTCCTCGGGCAAGAGAAACAAAATAAAAAATGAACAAATGGGACTACATTATACTAAAATGCTTCTGTACAGCAAAGGACACCATCAGAACAAAAAGGCATCCTACAGTATGGGAAAATATATTTGTAAATGACATATCTGATGGGTTAACACCCAAAACATATAAAGAACTCACACACCTCAACACCTAATAAACAAATAACCCTCTTAAAAAATGGGTGGAGGATATGAACAGACACTTCTCCAAAGAGAAATTCAGATGGCCAACAGGCACATGAAAAGATGCTCCACATTGCTAATTATCAGGGAAATGCAGGTTAAAACCACAATGAGATATCACCTTACACCAGTTAGGATGGCCAACATAGAAAAGACTAGGAACAACAAATACTGGTGAGGATCTGGAGAGAGGGGAACCTTCTACACTGCTGGTAGAAATGTAAACTAGTTCAACCATTGTGAAAAGCAGTATGGAGGTTCCTCAAAAAACTCATAATAGAAATACCATTTGACCCAGGAATTCCACTCCTAGGAATTTACCTTAAGAATGCAGGAGCCCAGTTTGGAAAAGACATATGCACCCCTATGTTTATCGCAGCACTATTTGCAATAGCCAAGAAATGGAAGCAACCTAAGTGTCCATCAGTAGATGAATGGATAAAGAAGACGTGGTACATATACACAGTAGAATATTATTCAGTCATAAGAAGAAAACAAATCCTATCATTTTCAACAACATGGATGGAGTTAGAGGGTGTTATACTCAGTGAAATAAGCCAGGCGGAGAAAGACAAGTACCAAATGATTTCACTCACCTGTGGAGCATAAAAACAAAGCAAAAACTGAAGGGACAAAACAGCAGCAGACTCACAGAACCCAAGAATGGACTAACAGTTACCAAAGGGAAAGGGACTGAGGAGGGTGGGTGGGAAGGGAGGGACAAGGGGAATATGGGGCATTATGATTAGCACATATAACATGGGGGGGCGGGGCACGGGGAAGGCAGTATATCACAGAGAAGACAAGTAGTGACTCTGTAGCATCTTACTATGTTGATGGACAGTGACTATAATTGGGGTATGTGGTGGGGACTTGATAATGGAGGGAATCTAGTAACATAACCCATATGATTTTATGTTAATGATACCAAAATAAAACAAACACTTGAATCATGAAAATCATTATTACGTTAGACATGTAATCATCAGAACACCTGTATGAGGTAGATATATTCTCATTTTTTCAAATGAGGAAACAGGCGCATAGAGTCACTAGACAATTCAGGAAAAGTAATACCCTCATTTACTCTAATGGAAAGATCCAGTTTATGTTCAACCTCCAAATTAAAGTCGATAGCGTCGTTTTTTAGGATTTCCTTCCTTTAGGTCTTCAGTGAAGTAAAAATCAGAAGGTAGGAATCAAAAACTCTTCTTGGCTATTTTAAGAAAATCTGCCCCAGTAGGTGGGAGGAGGCACATTAGTTAGGGGAAGGGATGGAAGCTGAGGGGAAGGAGGAGAGGGGTAAGGGCCAGTGGAGAGAATGATTTCTTACCTGGGGAAGGAGGGGAACAAAGGAAAGGCCACACTTCCCTTCCCTGATCTGGGAGGGGCAAGGCAGCAGCATTTGTGTGTGGGAGCCACTTTCTATATTTAAATACTATTTAGCTATGAATCCACCAAGTGGAAGGAGTTAATGTGACTTTTGAAACAACTCTCTTGGCTGAAAATGTGCTTGCACAATGCAAGATGGCTTCCTTGGTGGGATTTCTTTTCCTTGCAGTGAGAAGGGAGGAGTGCCCTGATTTGCTTAGCTCTCTTTTGCATACATTAGTGTTTGGTCCTTACCATTTCACAGGAACAAAGAGGGAATTTTAAAAAGGGGAAATGTGAGTTGACCAACTTTGAAAAATAAAACTTTATAACCCTCCACTGAGCACACAAAAGTGCTCAAAGGCAAGTAGGTGAGTCCACCATGCAATTTTGACCTCTGACCAGGTCAAAACCCTGAAAAAATAATAATTACTTACCCTCCCACAGGTAATCCTGACATTTCTGGCATCTTGTATGAAACTGGAGACAGTCTGACAAATTCTGGCCAAGTTCTCCACACAGTCCTTTGTCTTGCAACGTCTGTGAACTCAGGCCTCCATGGTTAGAGTCTGCAGGTAACAGCATTTACTAATTAGTGTCTGCACTTTAAAGGAATGGATACAGTGTCATTTCTTTTTCTTACCAGTGCTTTCAAAATCTGCCTGTACTCAATCACAGGAGTGCATATTGGTGCACCCTTTCTAGGGCAATATGGTATCTATTAAAAATTACATGTATCCTTTAATCCAGCAATCTCATTACTGTTAATTTTCATTATTGGTACACTCTCTTCTCCCTGCCGATTAGTGCATAAAATTTTATTTTCTGGAAGGAATCATGATGAATTATTAATAGTAATTATTTTTTGGAATAAAGACTTGATGGGGTGGGAGAGGGCAGCTTTCATTTATTTTATTCCTTTATATATTTGAATAATTTTAAGTTTAGTGTGTCTTATTTTTATCATTATTTCTGATGTCAGTGGAGTTAGCTAAAGAGGGGATTATAAGCCACTTCTCCCTTTGGACATTTCTCTATTAAAAACAATTTCTAATAAATATTTTAATTTTTAAAGCTATCATTGGGAAGTATGTTGGAAAAAGGATTTTGAAAATGTCTGCTTCTTAAACTAGGTGATAGGCATTTACTTTATTACTATCTTTTTGCATTTCATTTATGTATTGTCATGAACACATCAAAAGCAGATCAACTTCTGAGAAACCTTTTTTTTTTGGAAATATTAACAGTCCATATAAAAATACCAATATAAAAAAAAAAGCCTACCCAACAGGAAACTGATAGTTCTCAATTGAATGTTTCACATTATGAAAAATTTATTACTTATTTATAACCTGTTGATTTTCTGTTATATTAAATTCTCATATTTAAAAATGAAACATTTCATTTTGAGATAAATTCTGAGGTCCATTGCTTAGAAACCTGTGAGACAATTGTTAGATCATATGGTGTGTAAGGCAGCACCTTGCTTTGTTGAACAGAAAGTCATTTGCTTTGTTGAATTTCCCTCATCTGCCTGCGTGAGTCCTCCCTGTAGATTTAGAGACATCTCCTCTCACCCCACAGAGCTCTGAGCAGAGAGAAGCCTGACCACAGAGCTTATCTCTGCTTTATGTACTCTTTGCTTTTGTAACTTCTGTTAGACTCTGTGCCCCTTGAGGGAGGGGTTTGGTCTTGTCATATGAATCTTTTCATTCTTCCTACCTTCTTCTGTCATTTCATTCACAATACAGTAATGTAATTGTCCACTGATCTGTTTTCTTTTCTCTGGACTGAGCTCCTAAAATCAGGGGCTGTGTCATAATCATCGTCTTATTTTCAGCATCTAAATTAATACCTGGTATATAGATAAGAGATGGCAAATTTCAGGTCCGTATGACACCGACCTCCATCCTGCACCATGTCATGGCAGTAACCCATCACCTCACTTCAGTCACGCCAAGACAGAGCCTCTGGACCCTTCTCACAGTCCTTCTGGCGCCATCACTGATGAAAACCATCTGTTTTCCCCACCTGCTTTTGTTTCACAACCACCACTCCCCAAAGGGAAAATTAAAGTCAGCAAACACTCTCTAAGGTAGGATTGGAACCCAGATCTCCTAGATCCAGCACTGTGACAAGTCACTACACCACACCGTTTTATGGAACACGATCTCATCTGTTCTTTTGGGGATTTACAAGGCAAATGAAGACAACTGAAATGAAATGAAATGAAAGAGAGCTATTTTATTCTCTTTCAACAGATTCAGGAGCTGAGGTCTAGAAAGTTCAAAGTAGGAAAGAAATTCTTCTACATGGAGAGTTAAGTGAAACCACAACTCAATAAAGTAAAAAATATTAAACACCAAGATATTTCAGATTTTTTATTATCTCCTCCCTCCTTTAAATGGTGTTCACTATTCAGTTTTAGCTATTTTTCAGGTTTTGGCTCTCAGGGCAATTATGACAAATAAAGCCCCTGCAGGAAGGGTGATAGATATATGCTGTGCTTTCTCCCTACATGTTGGCCATTGTAACTGGCAAGAGGTATGTATTGGTTCCCTTTTGCTCTTGTAACAGATCACCACAAATTTAGTGCCTTGAAGTAACAAATGACAGCCTTGTAGGTCAGAAGTCTAAAATGGTCTCAGGCTAAAATCAAGGTGTTGGCAGGGCTGCTTTCATTTTCTGGAAGCTCTAGGGGCAAACCCATTGTCACTCCTTCCCAGCTTCTAGAGGCCCCCTGCAGTCCAAAGCTTGTGGCCCTCTTCCTCTGTCTTCAAAGCCAGCACAAGTAAGGCCAGGTCTTTCTCATGCTGCATCTCTATTGATTCTCTTCTGCCTCCTTCCACCTTTAAGAATCCTCGTGATTATGAGCCCCCTGGATGATCCAGAATAGTTTCCCTATTTTAATGTTAGCTGCTTAGCCCCCTTAATTCCATCTACAACTTTACTTTCCTCTTGCCACGGCAGGTAACATTCACAGGTTCTGGGGATTGGGGCATAGGTATCTTTGGGCAGCTATTTTTCCTCCTACCAAAAGAGGCAAAACTCAAAAAAGTCTTCTCATTAGGTGGATTTTCTAGGAGTTCAGAAAAGTGATGGAAACCACATGCAAATACCATACAGCCCCTGCCTGACTATTTCTGATAAATAGTCTGCCTGTGCTCATCTGAGCAGAGAATGTCTCCTCTGTTGATCTCGTCATGTACCCTTGTTTGGTTAGGGTAGGCATGCCAGAGAGAGCAGAGTGTAAGGGTTAACACAGGCCTTTTTGTTTGCTGTTCTGTTTTTGTTTTTAATGTTGGCATTTACAGGGACCCTGGATATCCAGATTATCACAGAGGAGCAGGTGGTGTAGAAGGTCAAGGAGAGGGGGCCTGTGAACCAGCCAAGAGCAGGGGTTGGTCCTGGGGTGTGTGAATGGGGAGAAACCTGAAGCAGAACTGGTAGAAACCACATTCCTAGTTAGTGGGGTGGGAGGGAGTTGCAGTGATTGAGAAATTCTTTAGATTTCATCGATCTGAATCACTACTACTCCTGTGCATGTTTGAATGGTTGCTGCACAGTGTGATAGATGATGGGGAGGCACTGTTTTGTTCTAACGGACATATTCTGAATATTATTCCAAAACGATTGATATCTATTTAAAAGTTCAAGCAAACATTGTTTTATGTCATCCAGCACTGATATATTTCATCTACTGTTCTGGTGCGTTTCCTGAATATTTGGCGTATTTAGAATCTCAAAACGGAATGCCAGACAAAACACCTGACTTACAGGGAAAGTCCACCAGACCCTGCAGTAGAACCTGACAGCAATTCCAGTAATGATGGCTGTTCTGTGCACGGAGAACAATGGGACAGGAAGGATGTTGCCTGGCTTGTTTCTCTTAGTGTGAGGTCAGCCCTCCTATACAGAGGCCAGTTATGCAATGGCATGGCAGTTTTGAGAATTTGATTCAGATGAATTTGATTCCAATTATTGCTAAAGCTTATATAATTGGAAAATAGTCAACTAGAAAGAGCCCAGTTTTCTTCTTACATACGAAAAGCTATATATACCCACAAATATAGACAACAGACTGTTGGTTATCATAGAAAAGGGGTAGGAGAATGGGTCAAATAGGTGATGGGGATAAAGTACACACTGCAAATTGTAAAATAAGTTAGACATAGGAATGCAAGTATAACAGAGAATTTAACGAATGAAGTTGTAGGATCTTGGTATGATAATGGGGTAACTACACCTAGTGTGGAAGCATCTAGTAATGTACATAATTATCAAGTCAATATGTTGTACATCTGAAGCCAACATAATATTGTATGTCAACTTTACTAAAATAAAAAAAAGCTATATATACTTAATATATACAACAGTTTGGAGATAAGTATAAACCCATGAAACCATCCCCACAATCTATGCTGTAAACCTATCCATCAATTCCAGAAATGTCCTCTTGCCCTCTTATTATTATTATTATTATTATTGACAAAAATGTGTAACATAGGATCTGCCCTCTTAGCATGTTTGTAAGTACACAGTATCACAAAGAACAATAGACACTGTGCTGCAGCACAGTTGGACTTTAGGACTTACAGGTCTTGCATAATTGAAACATTGTGCCTTTTGACCAATACCTCCTCATTTCCCCCTCCCCTTAGGCCCTGGCACACACCATTCTACTTTCTGCTTCTATGAATCTATTTTAGATTCCTCATATTAGTGGAATTATGTGGCATTTGTCCTTCTGCATCTGGTTTATTTTTCTTAGCATGACATATTCCAGGTTTTCCATGTTGTCACAAATGGCAAGATGTCTAGAAGAAACCCATTTTATTCATGTCAGAGGGGAGCAGCCTTTTATTTGTTCTTGTAGTCCATAAAAGATAAGTCCATGGAAATGCAGACCCAATACTTGACCCACACAGCAAGTGTCCTTTCTGAGATGCTGTGTCCCAGCACTCCACAGAAGCCTGAAGAAGGTATCTCCTCCTGCCTTTAAAACACAAGGCAGCATTGCATTTCCAGCATGGAGTATATCATGGGCATGAATGGTATTGGTAGAGGGCAATTCTTATCTTGTACAAAAATTCCTATTTTTGTAGTTTGTTGTCTCTTTATGAGCATTTTCTAGGGTTTTGTGCATAAGTATTGTGGCTTAAGGAATTACAGTAGTGATGGAGACAAGGTCATGGAAGGGACTAAATGTTGCCTCGTCATACATGACAGAGAGCTCTTTCCAAGCTGGGAGCTGAGGAGCCTAAACTGATTTTAAAGAAACTCTGTGATGTTCAAGCAAAGCAGAGCTGAGCATCTACATGAGTTTTAATAAAAGAGGCAGATGTTTTGTTAAACTTCTCATCTTGCTAGCATTTTCTTTTTTAGCTTTGAAAATCTGCTTTAAAAAGAGAGAACACTACCCCAGAGCTCTTGACAGTGATGAAAGAGGGATGGTGTTTGACAGACTTCAAAGCTGCTTCTAAGAGGTTCTGAAACTCTGATTATCCATAAATTGTCACTCTCAGAAACATTGTACTATGACTTAGAAATGTCTGCTACTTCCAAACCTAAACAAAACTTTAGACATCCAAGTAAAAATAATCTTTTAATACTTGCCTTTGTCTTGTTTTGGTAACTCCTCCATTGCATTCAGTGTTTCAGTAATTGTTGCCCTGATACTTTGATAAATAGAGAGGCTGAAATTACAAAACAGCTGGAAGAAGCTGGGAATGTCCAACCTTTGCAAAAGATCTGCGTTTTTCATTGGCTCTTTTTTTGTTGGTTCCTTTATTGATAAAGCTGGAAAAAAGTAAGGCTCAATAAAGTCAGTATCTGACATGAAATATGATTGAAAAGCCTGGTCAAATTCTTGCTGCATCTGTTTGAAGACATTAAAACTCCTGTTAAAAAGAAATCTCACATCCACAGTCAGCTGGCTGAACACCTTTTCTATTTGGATCAGTTGTGTGTCTTCCTCGATTAACTTTTCACCAATGGGGAGATCTTTTTCATTGTCTTCATGGAAGGGAAACAGAAATTGATAAATCTTCCTGAAAAACTGTTCAACCTGTGGGGTAGAGTGGTGGATAGAAATGGAATCAGAAATTAATTATCTTTCTTGACCATTTATTGTAAACTTTAAGGTCAACTTACAGTATTCATTCTGAATTAAAAACAGTTCTGGGCAAGCTAGGAAAAAGTGACTAAGATAATCACCTTAGAGTGGTTTAGGCCAAGTCACTCCAAGATAATTGATTAACCTTCTTGTTCTTGGATTTGACTTTGTGGAAATAGGATCAGAAATTTCTCCTGTCTTATATTTGCCTCCCAGAGGCCTAAAAAGCCTACCAAGTTTTCAGTATTGTTGACATGCCACGGCCTGATGTACTGGCAGTGTTCGCATGCCGTGGTCTAAAGGGCACCATGTAGATTGCCCAAAAACCATGACGAAGGCTCTTATGTTTAACCTCTGTCTTAGGGTTTAGTTCTTTTCTCTTTTTCCTTCAGCAAAATGTCATTAGTGTGTATACACTCTCCTCTTTCTTGTCTCATAGATTAGTCCATGGATAGGAAAAGATCACATTCACACTGAACTCTAGATGCCTGATATAGGTAAATCAGTTACTTGGGTTGGTCACATGTTAGTAGTTATCAAAGCCCTCCTTGGTTGCAGTTAAAGGAACAAAGCACTAATCATAGAATTTCCCCCTCAGACGGAGATTTTCCAGCAGTCACACTGTGCTCTACTTCATCTTTGTGATGCCTAAGTTCATGCCAGAACACAGTTGCCCTTATATGATAGTGATATGGCCATGTTGAATGTTATGGAACATATATTAACTATAGGACATCCCAGTGCTACTCAAAGAATTTTCCAGGAATTCTTAGAGGGCTTATTTACTTTCTTACAAAGTTGTCTTTCTGCTGGCTTCTGTTTACCTGAATCTATCTATAAAAACAAAGAAATTTTTTTCAGAAAGTCATAGAACTGGCACAGATAGGAATAGTCCCCAAATCTTTTGACCTCCAGCCATATTCTGGTGTATTAGAGAGTGACAGTGGCTATAAAAATAGAGCAGATGCAATTAACAGCGGAGGCAAATTAACTTGGCATATAAATTATCCTAGGGGTTACTCCTTCTGTAATTGGGTTTGGCACAGCCAAACCAGGAGTGTACTGTAATTAGTGCATGCTCTAATATGGAGAGGGAAATTTCACCCCATTTCATATTCAGCTTACTTCTTGAAGGGGAAGGGAAATTCAGGCCAACAGAATAGGTGCCTTTCATGGGGCAGAGCTTGTCCTATTCAGGTCACCACCTTCTGTGATTCTCTCTGCCCAGATGATAGCCAAAGGGGACAAACAAGGAAACATGCCAGTCCTACAGGACATACAAGGGGTAAGCCTAAAGGGTACATGAACACCTTTAAGAGGGCAAGCCTATTGAAGGAGAGATTCAGGAGGCAGAGAATGTCTTCAAAGGTTTGGTCTCCAGTGATAACATTAAAGCAGGTTGAAATCCAAGGCTGTAATGATGCTACTCAGAATGCAGTTCAGCAAACATTTATTAGATACCTACAATGCTTAAATGAAGACAAATAAGATATGGTCCCTGCCTTCAAAGAGCTTACGATCTAGTGGGAGCATACTCACAAATAACAATACAAGGCAGAGAGAGTCAGGATATTTCTAAGAGACATATATACAAACAATGCCATTAAATGGAGGGATAAACACTGAATGGCTATTCTAACTTATAAATTAAATATACACAACTGATTCATACAGAAGCATGAATGTTATATTCTAAATTGCAAAAGACCAATGTCAGGTCAGTCATATCAATTCTAAATAGAAAGGTAAGTTAATTTTTTTTTAATTAAGCTGAAACGGATACCTTAAGAACTCTGAAATCTGCAGCTCTATTTTTTCCTTACCATATTTGTCATAGAGGACCAACTAGGTTGGCAGGCTGTGTAAAATCTCATGCAGTTACTTTCCAGGCAAGACTTGCATTCATCCCAGGAATCTGCCAAAGAAACCTGGCATAGGCTTTCTTCCTCTTCCAGATGTTCTTGAACTTCATTCATAAGTTTTAGGACCTCCTGATTAAAAAGTAGAAACAAACATCCTATTTCCACTTCATAACTATGTGTACCTTAGCTGATTTCACCCTTTGAAAGATGTGCATATCCTAGTCTTCATTCTTTCTTCATGTCCCTGGCAGTTGAAAGATCTATCCTAAAGCTTCTGTTTGATTTTTAAAAAGCACTGATTGACCACTATTGAAGATTGTGGAAATCTTATCCTTCTGTTCATTCATTCGAAAACTACTGAGTGTTGGCTAGGGCACAGACATGCTAGATGCAGGTGAACCAACAACAAAGACACGGTCCCTACTCTGGGGGATGACTGTACTTAAGCTTACTCGTCAGTCTTCACGCGTATCCTTGGAGGATGTGGAAAGTGGGTTTTAAGGCTTGTAAAGTGGACATATCTCTTCTCTTCATTTATGCTGACTTTAATTTTTGTATGTTCTTAAACACTGCAGAAAAGTGCAATTCTTGCATATCAGATCACCTCTGCCCATTGAACTGCATGCTAATCGTAGTAATGCTGTATTCTGAGGGGCTTCCTTCTTCCCATCCAGATTCCACACACTCCCCCTGTGGTGCCTTGCTGTGTGTAGCCAGATCTCACTCTGTGGTAAGGAGCCCAGCAGAAGTGGCACCTTCCCTGAGAACCTCATCTGTGCCCCAGGACCTCACCACATCTCTGTAAGTGTGGACTTCTGGAGATTGGCCCCCTCCAGGCCTGAGATGTAGTTTGGGGAATTATGGGGTATAATGGGCCAGTCCATAGACAATCCCAGAGCTTACCACTCCCTTAAGTAAAAACCACAGGAGGAAGCAGAGTTTCTGTACTTAAACCCAACTTAACATTAGCATTTTTACCTAATGGAAAAGAAAGAAATCACTCCTTCCTGACTTGTTAAGACCAAAGAATCACCTGGAGACTGGAAATCTTGCATCTCGCCTTCAGCGGGCTCAGATTTTTCAGCTACCCTCCTGGTGCTAAGCCTGGGGGCATTTGCTAGTGCTGCCCACACAAGAAAAACAGCAGGGCCTTAGCCTGCCAAACATACCTTGTGACCCAGATTTTCTTGTCTCCTCGAGAGAGTTTAGGATCCTGCTGCTTCTCAAGAAAAGTTCCCTCACCAGAGCAGGCACCAGCACTACCCATATTTTCTCAGTCCCTGTTTTAAATTCTGCTCATTTGCGCCATATACCAAAATCCCAATATTTCCAATTTCAAACTATACTGACTGTGTACCCTTGGGCAAATTACTTTAACATTTCTGAGCCCATATCCTCCTCAGCAAATCAGAGTAACAGTAGGATTTACCTCAAGGTTTTGGACTGAGATAAGCAAGCGCCTGGCATGTTGTTACCTGATTTCCGTCCACTCATCTCCAAGAGCACAACAAAAACCAATTACCAGAGCACATGTCCATGTGTGAGTAGTGAAATGTTGCCATGGAGGGAGGAGATTTCTGGTTTAGGAATGTTCTGTTCATTCCTTCTGTTTCCCCTAAATGTCCCACCCACTGACAGAGACCATAACTATACCTGTAGTTCACAGCATATCAAAATCCCACGTAAGCCTGGGGCAGGGACAAATCACTTTGTCACTTTAGGGTTTCCCTCTTCAGTAAGAGTAAGGTTCAGATGCTCTCACTAAATATTAGTGGGGAGAGACTGAGAAAGGGACCTTGGTGACACAGGCCACCTGAGGATTTGCGGTGCTCTGTCCTGAGAGACTGGGGGTGCCAGTCCCATATGTGCCAACTCAAGTGTCTTTTTTTCTAGGGTTAAAGTAATTTTAAGGAGGGAAACTCAGGGTTAAGCAGGTTTTTCTTTTTCAAAATTGACTCTTGAGTGTCCGTGCCTTGAGAGTATCAATGGGTTTTTATACAGTAAGAAGCTTTTTAAGAAAAAAATAAAAATATTACTAGTTCCTGGGATTCCTTAGGGCCAGAACTGAAACCAGCAAGCATTTGCTTACTTGACCCACCACTAGGCGGAGCATTCTTTTCCTAGTATTACACTCGTGGCTTGGCAGTAGGCTAGAGAAAGGGAGAAAGACAAAGTCACTGCCCCCCCCACCCCCAGCACAGCACCAGCCACCTTCCTCCCCAGCCCTTCATCCCAGTGCCAGGTGAACATGGTAATGCACATCTCAAGCCTCAGTTTCCTTAGCTGTAACATGAACATACTGTTTGCCCACCTATTGGAAGGACTATAGGGGATGATCAGTCTTATAAAGGGCCTGTAAATGATACATAATATCATTGCTTCAATGGCCAGACTCACAAGCCCTCCAGGGAAGATTCCAGCTCCAGGGGCCTCCACATTTTCCTCATGAAGATCCATTTTTTATTTCCTCAAAATGTTTTGTTTGCTGCGAAGAGGGAGGAGGGCTTGCAGCTAGCTGCTGGTCAAACAATCTCCTTTCTGTGTTAGGGACCTTGAGTGACTCGGGGTGTAGGTGTGGCTACATCAACCAATCTGGTGACAGGCTGACATTCAACTTTGGGGTCAGCCCAGCTCCATTTACTTAATGGATGCTCAGGGGTCTCCATGCTTGGAAACAGAGAATTCCAACATCTCTCTGGAATTTGGTGGCCCCCAACTCTATAGGTCTGTAGATAAGTGTAGGGAGGAAATACTAGAACTTCTATTTGTATTTTTAAATTTTTTTAATTTTGGGGGTAAGATAAGCAGGGAGTTATTTAATGGGCACAGTTTCAGTTTT